TATTGTTGTACAATCAACAAGTTTATATAAATTTGTTAATTTTATAAGCTATTTTTTACTTTGTTAAGTGCAACATAATTTATATTTATGAGATCTATATCCTGAATTTGTTTTCAAATTTAAATGACATAAAAAATCATCCTAATTTATAGTTTCCAGCTTACAACTCTTGCATATGCAAAATTCATTAAAACCCTCAACAAAATTCCTAGCCGAAGCAGGGGAAGTACAAGCGTCTTGCCGGCGGCATCCACTCACGTGATCAGGTTCACATGCAGTGTTGCACACTTGCAGCAATAGAACAGTATCACGTGCAATTATTCATCTGCAGGAGGAATTGTCACGGGCGTGTCGTCCTCTCTGCCTTGTTTAATTAATTTATTTTAGGGTTATGCAAAACACGATTTATAAGATGAATATTTACTTATTTTAATTTTTATTAAAATATTAAAATTCATTTAATGTAAATGCTCAAATTTTTAAGGTCATTTATTTAAGGTCTGTTTGGGACGGCTGCAGCTTATTGAATAATTTGCTGATAAATTGATTAAAAATAATTTACTGTTAAGCTAGGTGTTGGGACAATTACAAAGTTTTATTTTCTTGGAAAGTCTTACCGCTGCCAGTAAACTGTCACCGCACCTAGAAATGTACGGGGTGAAAACGTTATTTTAAGTGTTTTCAAAACGCATAAGCTGTCAAAATGCAGTTTACCCAAACAAATCAGGTGCATTTTCAAAACTCCACTACACCAATTAAGCTGCCCCAAATGAGCACTTAATCATGATACGGGCAAAAACAAGTTCTATATTTAGATAATTGATATGCATAAATGATAGTTTCATAAATAAATAGACAGTTGTATGTTTTATCTAAATTTGTTAATAGGTGATAATTAGCAAATTTAGATAAAACATATAAGTGTTTATTTATTTATGAAATTAACATTTATATATATATATAACGTAAATATATAACTTGTTTTTGCTCATATCATGATTTATATGTTCTATACTCCAAGCGAGTGGCACTTAGTTCTGGGCTAATGCCATTGACATCAAGCAAGTCTAAACTAGCGAGTCTACTCTATCTCTAGACAAGTGCTTCTTGGCCCCATATGAATTTATTCCATATAATTGTATGCAAATATAATATCGAAGGATTCATAAATTTTTATTTTTCATCAATTTAGAAAACATCGTAATAAAAAGAAAATCCAAATCTCATGACTAGAGTGCGTTTGAGGCAGCTTGTGCTTATCCTGAAACGCGACACACAGGTGATCCTCGGGGTTCGACCCGCGGTCTGTGTTTAGTGTAAAAACTCAAACGCGTTTTCGGATAAGATGCCGAAACGTGTTTTTCAAACGGTAAGACGGTGTTTTGAAAACGTCGCCTGAACTTATAAGCTGCCCCAAACAGGCCCAACAATGATCTGCTTAGCTCTAAGCCACTTTGTTCAAACGTTTCCAAATTACAAGCTTGTTCCGTTGATGGTAAAACATTTTTATCCCTCTCTTGTCATGCCTTCCCTTACTTGTGTGTCACTCGTTCGCCGTCTTATATTACCATTTTGCCCACCATCTTCTTTAAAAACTACTTTATATTTAATCTCATTGTTTCCTCTTTAAAATATGTAAAAGAGTTCAGAGAGAAGAGTATTTGAATTGTACCTTTGAAATAAGTATATATACCTGTTTCTTTTTGTTAATTATTATGTTTTTGTTTATTTATAAAAATGATTTGTTTATTTATTGTTGTGTTCATCTGTACCTGTTTCTTTTTGTTAATTATTATGTTTTTTCTTATGTTGGTTTCTTAAAAAGTTAGAGGATTTAACAGTGAAACCTGGCTTTTTTATTAAAAAAATTTTCTTAAAAATTTTATGTTTGATCTCATTTATATTTAAAGGCTATTTTTCTTCTTTTTCGTTGTTAAGACAGGGTTTTCCTCTTTCCCCTTATCTTTTTGTTATCATTACATATTTTCTTTCTATTATGTTTGATAATCAATTGGCTGGAAATAATTATGCTAATTTTATAAATCATTTGATTTATCTTGATGATATTCTTAGTTTAGTAAGACTGTTTCTTATCATATTAAATTTATTTCTAATACTCTCAACAATTTTACTCAAGCTTCTAATCTTCATATTATTTTTTTCTAAATCTGTCATTACTTTTTCTAAAAGTATTAATAGTAATCTTTAAAATCTCATTTGTAATTTATGTGTTTTTTTTTATCAAACCTTTACCTTGGGAATACGTTGAGGTCACTATTAAACCTACTATATTGGCCATCTATGATTGTCGTAAACTTATTGATAAAATTCATTTTTTGGCTTGTTAGTTGGAAGAATAATTATTATCTGATGTTGGAAAATTTTAACATGTTAAATTTACTATTTAGAGTATTTTATATTATTAGTTTTGGTCATCCTTATTACCAAAAGGTATGAGGAAGAAGATTTCTTCTTTGATCTCCAATTTTTTTCTTAATATTGATGATACCAAGAAGCTTCATAAAATTTTCTAAAATGAAATTACTCTGCTTAAGCAGGTTGGGGGTTTAGGTCTTCCTTCTATTAATTCTATAATTATGTTTAAATCAAAATTACTTGGAAATGTTATAACTCTTAATCTTATTTGAGAGAGTGATTTTATAAGCATTATGGTACTTTATGATGTATTATTAATTCTATGCCTCTCCTTTTTGAAAAGAACTTATTCAAATTACAAATAAGTTTAGAAATGCTTTAAGTTTCCAATTTACTAAAGATTTTCATATGTTATTTTATTTCGATCCTTGGTTTGAGGGGATTTCTCTTATACAAAACTTTGGTGACTCTTTCTTTACGTGGTTTAATTTTTTCCTCAATTTCAAACTTAAGGATATTATTTATAATGATTGCTAAAATTTTCCTCTAAATCATTATGCTTTAATTTTTTTTATTGATGCTATTAGTAAGATTCCTATTACTAGTGACCTAACTTGTTATTGAAATAGTGGTCTAATTATTCTCATAAAGCTGCCTATCTTTTTCTTCATGCCACTTTTCCCCTTGCTAATTGTTTCAATATGGTTTGGTTTAAGGGTTTTTGTAAATATGCTCTTCATTTTTTTTTCTTTAACATGTATGAATGTTAATTCAACTTGTGTATTATGTATGAATAATCTTGAAACTCATGATCATCTCCTTTTTAAATGCTCTTACTCCCACTTGCTTCTTAAATGTTTTTCACTTGATGGTAATTTTTTTATAGCACATGGTAACATTTTTCAAGTTATCTATCACTCTAAACGTTTATCTTGCAAAATTAGCAAGCTTTTTTATCTTTTGGCTTAGCAATTTATAGCATATGTAATTTTGTACTAGAAAAATTCCAAATTTTATAGAAATAATCATACTTTTATTGATTTTAATGCTCATTATATTCATTGGATGATCATCTTTAGGAGGAGGAAGTAGTTATTTAAAAATTGTATTCATATTCCTATTAGGCAGCTTTACAATTTTCAACTTTTTTTTGCTTTATATTTTTGGTTGGTCGCTCCTCCTCCTTCTATTTTTGGTTATTTCTTTGATTAGGTCCGTTTTTCTTACTATTATAGGTTTTTTTCTTTGATTCTTCGTGTTCAGACCTTTTTTGCATGGATTAATTTTGTATTTTAAAGAATATTTTTTTGCCTTTATTTAATCGGTGAATTGATGGTTTGGAGGAGCTTGGATTGGAGCTCTTAGTTGCGTGGATTTGCTTTTTATGGTTTGATTTGCTACTCGTTTGTGTGGCTGGTTCTTTAAGTCGTATTTCAACTTGTTTAATGTAGCTTAGCTCTGATCTTGTGGCTTCTCATAGATTTTATTTATTTATTTATTTATTTCTTCAAAATTTTCTTTTCTAGAAAAGATATATACTTGGTTTTTTCTTGTAAATTAAATTTTTTTTTAGCTATGATGATTTTCAACAATATGTTAAGTTTTAATCGTTCTTTTGAATATTTATATTCATTTGATTATGGATGAAAATTTAATATTTTAGTAAGTAATTTCTCAGCTTATTTTTAGGGTTATTCCTTTTGTTTGTTTTTAGAGCTGAGATATTAGTTGAGTATGACGTACCATATCCTTTTTAGAGTATCAACCAATCTTTGAATATTATTCCTGGTTTACTCTTTATACATTTTTTTATTCATTAAACATAATTATTTGTTCTCAATCGTTTAATGAATTTTTTTATGTAGAGTCAGTTGGTTGGTCCTGAATTTTATCATGTCTTATCTCACCTTAGTTATAAGATCTAGTGTTTTGTTTATGTATTGGGTTGTTTTTCCTTAAACAAGAATGTTTTTTCTTTGAGTTTGGATGGGCTCTTCAAATTGGATGATGGTTTGGCTGAGTTTTTTTAATTTTTCTATATATTTTTCAATTCAGAGTTGGTTGGGTGGTTGTTGTTATTTCCTATATAATCTCATGTATGATGGTTGTCTATTAAGAGCTCTAATGTTGCTTGTTGCATTGTTGCAATCAAAACCTTGGTGGCTCTTTATTCTGTTAATCTTTGATGACAGCTTTGTCCAAATGATTATGTAGAGATGTTGTTGATTGAAAACTTTTTTTGGTGTTTCTGTTGATTGGTTTCATTGAATTCGTTTTTCTCTTGGTTCCCTTTAGAGTAGTTGTTGATTATTATTGTGTTATATGTTGTTTGTATTGCTTTGTATCTGTATTGTTTTGCTGTTGATAGTTGTCTCTTTTTCTCTTTTTTTTTTCCGGGTTAGTCCTGTTTGGGTTTTAGTTCTGGGTAGTGTTGTATTTGTGTTGTACAATTTTATTTGTGTTTTAAGATTATATTTGTCCTTTTTTAATAAAAAAACTAGATCTAACCCTCATCTTTCTAAAAGAAACACATTCAAAAAAGCTTTTTTTTTTAAATTTGAAAATATATATTATTATTAAATAAAAAAAATAAATAAACAATAATGCCTTGTTAAACATCACATGAATTTGACAATGGGATCTTAACCATCACCCTTTCTTCTATAAACTCTTCCCTACTTCAACCTTGTCTCTTTCCAACCATCCAAATCTCAAAACCAAAATGTCTTACCTTCCCCTCGCCATGTTCTCCATCCTCCTCTCCGCATCATCAATAATCTCTGCTTGCACCTTCTGCTCCCATCCCGCCCATCCCCACCCCATCCATCACCATCCCATCCCTAAACCACCGGCCATCAACCCCCCTCCGCCCGACGGCACAGGTATTCCGGCGACAACTCCCCCGCCGGCGGTGAAATGCTCGCTCGACATCTTGAAGCTGGCACTGTGCCTTGATGTATTGGGAGGGTTAGTAAACGTGGGCTTCGCTCCAGTGGAGATCTACTGCTGTCCGGCGATTGAAGGGTTGCTGGAATTAGAAGCGGCGGCTTGTCTTTGTGCTGCGATAGATCTAAAGGTGCTGAATTTGAATATTTATATTCCGCTGGCCCTCCAAGTTCTCATTACCTGTGGAAAAGACCCTCCTCCGGGCTATTTCTGCCCGCTTCGGCATTAGGGTTTGCGTGTCGAGTTTCTTTGGGATTTGGGTGTGGATGATGAGGGTTGCAGCGGGAAGAAGTTTATGTTTTCTGATTATGTTATTAATTGTGATTTGGTGGATTTTAAGCTATGAATTTGTTGCTATTTATGAAAATTAGGATTCTCGTGCTGCATTAAAAATAATATAATAATTTAAATGCGTACATTTTACATGCTATTTTGCTCATCTTGATTGGCACAATCTAAAATTTTGAAGCAAATAAACATATAAAAATTAATCTCACATGTACATTTCCGGATGCTCGTAAAAAGGAGCGTTTGTTGCGTAGGGTTATCACACGTAAATTTACATGCAGTGTCCGATGTGGATCACTAAAATACATCTTTTTTGTTTTTTTTATTATTAGAGTGGGGCCCATTCTAAATTTTTGACTGTCCAGATCAGATACTTTTTTTCTATAAAAAGAGAAAAATTTTAAGTTTTCTTATGATGTTTCATCATTGAAGTTATTTCATGATAATATTTTTCACTCGTGTCTCATAATGCAATTTGAGAAAAATGTAGGACTTTTTCACCTTCTTTTGATTTTATTTTTCTTTTTACAATAATTTAAGATTCTGAGTTGCATAAATAACAATAAAATTACGGGGGCTTATGCAACATGCCTTCATTTCTTAAGCATTTATGTATCTCACACTCAAACTTTGATTGTTATATGTTTGAAAAGGTGGAAATAGCATAATCCATCTTTTCATACATAAGTTTAGATGATTAGGGTGTAAAAATCAAAGTTTGGGTGTGAGATACGCAAATGCATAAGATTTAGATGTTATCTATGTAAATTTTGGTAAAGTTAATTGTTTTTCTCATATGACTTTAGAGGTTATAAGAACTTGAACTAGTGAATCATGATGAATATACCAAAAAAGGTTGCTGCATTCATAAAGATAACCATTTCATGATGAATATATTGTCATGTAAGAATGGTACTTTTATATCCAATGTTTTGTAGGAAGTACCTCCACGTACATGGAGATGTTGAACAAAATACAAAAAAGACACGGGTTTATATGATCATACCTGAAAAACTTGAACGAAAAAAACATGAGGTTTGATTTAGTAGAAATGATCTACAATATTGGCAAAGTTTACAATGGTTGGCTTATGATCTTAATTGGAAATGAATAACTTGTCATTGTAGCTAAGGATTATAGAGATATTAAGGGGTGATAATGATGAATAGACAATTTTAAGTGGATGGATTGATTTAAAACGGACAAATGATAGTAATTGGATTACAATGACTAAGTGGTCATAGTTAGACAATAACGGATACGCGTTGCCAAAAAACATGGTCTCATATCGATAGTTGGGCGACGAAAGTTATTAACTATGATTATTAGTGTTCAATGTCAAGGAGAGCTCTAAAGTTTCTTGAATATTTGTTGTTTTGAGTAAATGTCTTATTTTTATGAAAAATGGACTTATATATTGTTTTGATAAATTTAACTAAAATCTCAAAATATTGTTTTTTATGTTTTGCATTAGTTTCAATGATCATGAATTGTTCTCTCATCATTTGGGTTTTTCAATGATTTCAAAAATTGAATAATTTTATTCTCATTAAGTTTTTCATCATGTGGTTATTTTGACTTTATGTATGTCAAAATTGAGATAGTTTGATTGTCCAATTAATATCTCAAAATTTTAACGAATGTCATGTAATTGATTTGAGGTCATTTAGAGCTGATCGGGCAAGTTTAATTTTGTGACTTTATTTCATTAAGTTATTTTGTTAAGTAATTAATTACTAATTTTAAATGTCATAAAATCTTAAAATTAAATTTAAGAATGTCTAATTAAGATCGAGCCCAATTAATGTCATGACTATGTTTTATTAAGTTATTGAGCTAAATATTTAATTGCTTATTTTAAAAGTCATAAAATCATAAATTTAAATTTAAAAATTTCACATTCAAAAACTATATTGAGCTTCATGCTCTCTCAAGTAGATTTTTTATATGTATCATTTTGCCCTCCTTTTTTTGGATGTCACTGCTTATTTCATCGAGAAAGTAAGAATCATGTCCTTGGAAATTTAAGGAGTAAAATTATAATTTTGAAAAAATTACAATGCCAAATACTTTGGACTTCAACATAAGGGCCTTGAAAGAAACCACTTATCCTAAATCATATGTACATCCTTTGTTATAAATAACAATTAATAGAAGCAATACTTGTTAACAAAATGTTAATCTAAACTCCTTAAAACTACTAAAATTTTATTATAGAAACTCTATTGAACTTCAAAAATGTAATTGATTAGCCCAAAATGATGAATATGATCCCAAGGACCTAAATCATGAATAAAAAGCTTGTTTGGACTTAAAATTGTGCCTAAACTAGGCGATACCTGGCCAGCCACTAACTAAAACAACAATGGTATGATATGGGGTGTGAGGCATGCCTACAATAGTCCATGGTTTATTTTAAGAGAAAATTTTAAAGATGAAACAATTATGTTTCTTTAGAAGCATTCTCCAATTAGAAAAAAATTTGATAATGATATTTATTTGCCTTCTTTTTTTTTTATGCTTGTTCCATGCTTGTATAACTTTCTATTTACATTTTAGTAACTATTGTATGGGGAGCTTAATTCTCATTTTGATATTAATGTTGGATATCAAAATTTATAATTTTAGGCATTGATTTTTTGCTCAGAAGCTATTATAATTATATGAGATTTAATTTGGACATGATAAAAATTATACCCTTCAAAATTAGAAGAAACCTCAAAGATAAAGTTATCATTTCATAGAAGTTGAGACCAAATTTTAAGGTTCTGAAAGCTATATAAGATATTATGAAACTATCAAAAACACTGATAAAGAGTATTGGCACTAATTTAACTTATATATCTTTTTGCATGTGACATTCAAATAATGTTTATTATTTTTTTTAGTATTAAATGTATATTTTTCATGTGTTTAATATATTCAATTGGTGTCCAACAACAAGTTGTTGAATGTAATGATAATTTATAAATTCTTAATATTTAAATTATAGTAATTAATATTTATATAAATTATGTCTCATAAGAGACCAAGCTCATTAAACATCATTATAATGTACTTGAAATCCTTAAGTCTTATTGGAAATCTAATGGACTGAGCTTGAATTTTTATGTAAGATTTTCATAGTATTTCAACAAAATTAAACTATAGTGATATTGATTCTTTAGCTGATATAAAGTTTGTTATATTTACTATATCTTAGAATGAATAATTATCTTGTACCTTGTTTAACTTATATTTTCTATGGTTTTTAAAAGACTTTATAGCATCTAAGGCCAGCGCCATTGATGCATGAAAAAGTTAACCATAATTTAGGATTGTTTTATACATTTCTATTGATGATATTGAACTTTAAGGAAGGTAATTTTGTGTATTGTTTGCAGGTATAATATATAATTGAAGTGAGTAAGGCAGGGGAGGACTTGGAGCTCATAGTAGAAAAGTGGTACTGGAACCTGGGCGCTTGATGCTTTGGCGCCTAAGAGACAGTCCTAGCATTCCAAACCCGAGGGGTTGGCGCTTAAGCGCCAACCATTTGGCTCCTAGGCACAGTGATACTAGCGCCTAGGCACTGGACGCTTGGCGAGTTTGAAGATAACCAATGTACTATAGTTGTCAGTTAATATTTGTTTATAACTGACATGTTATTCTGTCTACTAAATTAAAAAAGTTGGAAAATAAAATATTGTTATGTCATTGCAAATAAGCAAGATAAAAATTGTTGTCAAACTATCACTAATTAGAACAATCTTTCCGACGTGTAAAAATTCATTGGTTTTAGTGTTTTTCTTGTAGTGTATGTCGTTCAAGCTAACTAGGTACTTTAAAGACTCTAACTTCTCTCCCTTTTAATATTTGATTTTTGCAGTAAAGAGTTATATCTTTTTTTTGTTGTGTGTGTGTGTGTGTGTGTGTGTGGTGTTTTAGGGAGTGAAGAAATGATCTTTACATTATTACAAAATTTATTCTTATTATTATTTGATTTTTTTTGTGAATACTTTTTTTTGCTATATTTCGAAATAAAAAATCCAAAAATATTTTCCTTTAATTCCAATCCAAAGTTATTATAATTCATGCAATAATAAATTAATGTGTGATGATTAATTTAAGCACGTCACATAATTTTTTTATCATCTTTAATATCTATTAAAATGATTCCAAAATAATAATTATAATTAATTTTATTTAATGATTTATAATGTCATAATATTTACTTATCAAATAATTTTCACAATTATTAATATTATAATTTATGCATTGGTATAAAAATATACTTATTCACTTTATCACCTTTTGCTTAATCACATATGATAAAAATTAATTATGCCTAAAATTTATTTATTCTCATTTCTTAACCTTTTAATGCCATATTTGCATTATTTAATTTTACTAAATATTATGTCCTAATATTATATATATATATATATAT